ATTGGTTTTATGGTGGCTTCGCCGTGTCTATGGGGGAAGCCGCAAAACCTCTCCTTTTCGAATGTTTCCACGCAGGTTGTCATGTCGTTTTGCGAGACAGGCGTGGCACTTTGTGACATTCCAACCTGTTTGATAACGTGTCGAAAATGTCAAAATTGGATGAAGTCTGGCATGAAATGCTCGTTTTTCTGCACCCACGTGTCTCGTCTCGAGTCTCTGGTTTTCCTGTGGCGTCGCCGTGTCTATGGGGGAAGCTCCGCACTCCACACTCTACACTTCACACTCCACACTCCACAATTTACACTTACACTCCACACTTTACACTTTGCACTTTACACTCCTCACTCCTCACCTGAGACTTTACACTCCACACTCCACACTTTACACTACACTCTACACTTTCCACTCCACACTCCACACTCTACACTTTACACTCCACACTTTACACTGCACACTCCTTACTTTACACTCCTCACTCCACACTCCACACTTTACACTCCACACTTCACACTCCACACTTTCCACTCCACACTCCACACTCCACACTTTACACTCCACACTCCACACTTTAAACTCCTCACTCCACACTTTACACTCGTCACTTTACACTCTACACTCCACACTCTACACTTTACACTCTACACTTTACACTCTACACTCCACACTCCACACTCTACACTTTGCACTCTACACTCCACACTTTACATTTTACACTCCACACTCCACACTCTACACACCACACTCTACACTTTCCACTCCACATTTCACACTCCACACTCGACACTTTACACTCCACACTCCACACTCCACACTTTACACTTTACACTCCTCACTCCACACTCTACACTCCACACTCCCCACTTTACACTCCACACTCCACACTCTACACTTTCCACTCCACACTCCGCACTCCACACTCCACACTTTACTGTACACCCACACTCCACACTTTATACTTTAGACTCCTCACTCGACACCCCACACTTTACACTCCTCACTTTACACTCCACACTCCACACTCTACACACCACACTCTACACTTTACACTCCAGACTCCACACTCTACACTTTACACTCCTCACTCCACACTTTACACTCCTCACTCCACACTCCACACTTTACACTCCTCACTCCACACTCCACACTTTCCACTCCACACTCCACTCTCCACACTTTACACTCCTCACTCCACACTTTACACTCCTCACTCCACACACCACACTTTACACTCCACACTTCACACTCCACACTTTCCACTCCACACTTCACTCTCCACACTTCACACTCCACACTCCACACTTTACACTCCTCACTCCACACTTTACACTCCACACTTTACACTCCACACTCTACACTTTACACTCCACACTTTACACCCCACACTCCACACTCTACACTTTACACTCTACACTATACACTCTACACTCCACACTTTACACTTTACACTCCACGCTTTCCACTTTACACTCCTCACTCCACACTTTACACTCCACACTTTACACTCCACACTCTACAGTTTACACTCCACACTCCACACACTACACTCCACACTTTAAACTCCACACTCCACACTCCTCACACCACACTCTACACTTTCCACTCCACACTCCACACGCTACACTCTACACTCCACACTCTCCACTTTACACTCTACACTTTACACTCTACACGTCACACTCTACAATTTACAAACTCCACACTCCTCACTCCACACTTTACACTCCCACTTTACACTCCACACTCCTCACTCCACACTTTACACTCCTCACTTTACACTCCACACTCCACACTTTGCACTTTACACTCCTCACTCCACACTCTACACTCTACGCTCCACACTCTACACTTTACACTCCATACTCCACACTCTACACTTTACACTCCGCATTCTACACTTTACACACTCTACACTCCCCACTCCACACTTTACACTCCAAACTCCTTACTTCACACTCCACACTCCACACTCTACACTTTCCACTCCACACTGCAGACTGGTAACAAGGGAAACATGTACAAGACTGTTCAAATAAACTATTGCAGAAAGGTATTGTGCGTGACTGCATAGCCATGTGTTTTTACATCTGTACCATTAACATACGTGTGAGCATTCGGGTTCGTGGGCTTCATCTTGTTTTTTAAAGAAAAATCTTTTCAAAAAAAATGTATTGAATATGTATTTTCCTCTAAAAACAATGTTTAGATTCTGAACCTAACCTTGGATGTTTTAGAGTTAGGTTCAGATTCTGAACCTAACTCTGGATTTTGGAGAGTTAGGTTCAGATTCTGAACCTAACCCTGGATTTTGGAGAGTTAGGTTCAGATTCTGAACCTAACCCTGGATTTTGAGAGTTAGGTTCAGATTCTGAACCTAACCCTGGATTTTGGAGAGTTAGGTTCAGATTCTGAACCTAACTCTAGATGTTTGAGAGTTAGGTTCAAAGCTAGGTTTGGATTTTGAACCTTTATATATGTTTTTGAAAACTTAGATTTGTTTTCACCTTTTCCAATTTTTATTTACTACAATTTTAACAATAAAACTAAACACATTTATCATGCACTTACATTAGTGAACCATTCAAACCAAAACCCATACCATGAAAACAAAACAACATCTCATGCAAAATACATATAACATAACCAGTAGATATTGGAAAACCATGTGGTTGCAATGGGCATCTTACATGGCCCAAACAGGTCTTTGCAATGTGCAGCAATGCCATGGCACAAGGCATCCTGATGGTAATGGCCATGGAGCCTTTGCTATCCACATGGCTGCATGGAGTCCAATGGCCACAATGGCCTTTGAGTCAACTGACAGTTCATCACCATTTTCTAATGGCATGAAATGCTAGTGCAGTGGTGGCTAACGGACTCATCTGCTGGGATCTTTGCCCAAGATGCCATGGAACCTGGCCCTAAGGAATCAACGGGGTAGATTCCAAGAAAGCATCTGGAAACAAATCATCTGGATAGATAGAGAGAGAGAGAGAGATATATATATATATATATTCAAAATGGATTGGTTTGGTTTCCTGCCTGGTGATTTGCAGCTAAGGGTTGCTTTAGATACTTGGGCAATGCTTACCTAAACAAAACTATATGAACATCAACCAAATGAAGAAATATAGACAGAAACAACAAACTTGATACAGTGTATCAATATACCAGTATCTGATGGAGCCTGCTGGAAAAACATGGCTAGACATTGCACGAATGGTCCATGGCATGGTTTGGAACACCTGGCACAACATTGGATGGCCCATGGGGCCTTTGCCAATGACAATGCGCATGCTGCCTACATGGGTGAGACAAAAACAAACTGGTTGGTAATGGAAGGCCTGTTGATTTGCCTCGCTTACCTTTAACCTGCACTCTCTCTGATTACTTTCTTCACATTCTCTTCATTGAATTGCATGCTACGTTGTGCAAGCCCCAATGACTGCTGTAGCTCATGAATTTCCTCTCGTGATTCTCTTGGTTCTAGAGCTGTAGACTGGCTAGCAATCTGCAAATCAACGTTGGACGATGCTACCATGTGAGATTGTTGTCTGAAGTTCATGATAGATAGTTCCATGTTGTTCTGCATTTCCCTACCTTCAGCATAGAGATGGTTGGCAACGCTGTGCGTATTCACTGTCACATTCCATCTGCTTGATCCTTTGCTCAGTGTTAATCAACAATCTGTGAAGGCTCTGGACTTGGTCCTGGTACTCTCTTCCCTCATGATCATGCCCTTGTCGAAGATCCTCTGTGCGACGCTCTCGGCCAGATTCTTCCTGCGCTCCAGCTCTTCGATGCGCATCGTGGAACCTTCGTCGTCTTGGGCGGCAACCATGAGTTCCACTTGATATTCTCTCACTTCAGTTGCTCATTGACTAAGCATTCCATTCAGTACACTGAACTCACTATTGACATTGTCATTGTATCCTCTAAGGCAGTCCGTGAACTTGGCTTCAATGTCGTTGATTGCTTGATTCCTCGATTCAACTATTCCTCCTAGCCGCTCGACTTGTTCCTCTAACAGACGATTCTGCATGAGTTCGATTTCATATCGGCTCAAGTATCTCTTCATGTGTATCCTCCATGCCGTCTTTCTCGTTTTCTGGACTAGGCCCTTCCGTTCTCCGTTTCCCTGTGGTTTCCCTAGTCCTGGTTGATCGGTCCTGGTTTGTTCTGGGTGTCCCTGATCGTGTAGTAGATCTTCTGGGCGTTCGATGTTCTCGATGTGGTTGGTTCTTCTTCGAAGTTGCCCTTGGCGATCTGTTATTCGCTGAGCTCCTGCATCTGGAAGATATGTTGTTCCATTCCAGTGCAGTGCCACTGTCACCAGTGCCGGGCGAGGATTGATTTCCGCCAGCAGCTACTGCGACAGTGTTGTCGCCAAACGTGTATCGCTGCTACTGTGCATCTTTCTCTGTGAAGATGACTGGATTCAATTTCAACAGTCATTCTTCTCTCAGGGAGCAGGTTCCAAAGGCAATACGGCTGATAACCTGCGAACAGATTGACCCCTGTTCCGGGTTAGCTCTTGATACTTATATTGTTCTTCTGGCGATGTACTGCTCAATGGTCAACCCCTCCGGCAAGCGAGCGCAGCGAGCGCCATCACTTTTACACGTCAGTGGCGGTCTTGAGCCATGCAGGTCAGCAAAATGTACATGTTACTATGTACATGCATGCAAACATGACTCTCGCCAACATCCCTTTCGCATAAAATAATATCGCGTAATATCATATCATAGCAAATATGCAAATATTGCTTTACATTCTCATCTAAATTTGGGCACCACGAATTCCGGGACACACCCATGTGTTGAAGGTTTTTGCTGTTTCTATAAGGAGTCCCTGCACACGCACACCTGAAGCTGCAACAAAAAACACTGTGATTTGACACATGTGGAAATCGCAACTGGACACCCGACAAATATCATTTTGAGCTTTCAAGCATACTTCAAATAGTTGAGGACCCTGCAACATCTTCCCCAAATCGCCCCTGCCTGATCTGCCTGGGTGTTGAGCTCTGCAAGCGACAAGAAGGGATTCTTCTTTGCGGTCTGCAAGAGGGACTCCGCCTCATTCCCACACTGGCCCGAATCCTCAGGTGTCATGTGACCCGAGGAGACGGTTGAAATGAGCAGCCATGCGAGTTTGGGCATCTTTGTGTCAAGATGTATACAAACTGCACGGAAGCAAAAATCGCTCAGTCAGCTAAAAGCCAAAGCGAGCTGCGAGCGACTGTTTTGTGCAGATTCTGTAAAAAACATAGCAGTTCCACTGAGTTCCACTTTCAGCAATGCACGACAAGAGAATAAATGCATGCCAATGTTTGATTGACATGCGAGGCTCTGAGCACTGCACCGAACTCTGCAAAAAGGCAAGTCAAACAGTGCTTTCTGAAAAAAAAACTAAACAGCACCAACAAGTCCAGTAGGCAACAAACCCTCTTATTTTACAACTCATATTTCGATAAATTTCGCACATTTTGCTTGCGTAAATCCTCAAATTTCCCAACCTGCATTCTCGGCAAAGCCGAGCATGAAAACCAGACTCAACCATGGGGCGCCTCGGCCAATTACAGGGGGAAACCAGAACCCATCAAGAACTTGGTACACAACTATCAATCTCATGTCACCATATGTCACCTGCATATGATGGCTACAGAACTGCACACAACAGGGAATACCGGCAACAACATTGGGTACAGTAGCGTAGCACGACACCAGGCCTGTCAAAGGCGCCTATACCATAAAACCATCAAAACAAATTGCTCACTACCCTTGAAGGTTGAAGGGCTTGCTGCAATCACCAGCCAATTTGTGGGTTTGACTCAAAATAATGTGCATCCCACAAATCTATTGGTAAATCATGATTTCCCTTTTCAATCGTGCCATAAATTTTGTTATCCCCCGCTTTCAGACACACCCTGATCCAGAAACACTAAGAACTTCCCTCTTGGCCCTTGAGATGATTGAAAGTACGCGCCTCCGGGAAGACTGGAGGATACACACCTGGAAAATCGAATCTTTCATGACAGATATTAGAAATCCAATGGAGGCATCTACACATGATAACTATGCCACAACATCAGGAAACAAATGGGTGTGTCTAAAAGGGGCTTAATTACCCCCCAAATGGTTATTTGTTTTAACAGAAAATGAATGAAAATCATGACTCAGCAATATTCAGCAGGGGATTTCCGGGCCTCAGATTTTCAGACAAACCCAAGTCCACTTTCCGCTGCACTCCGTTGATCGAGTTGCTGGTGACGTCCTATCTACTGTCTGCCACAGAATGAGGATGAATTCCCATGAGATCTCAGCAGGACACCGAGCAGGATACCGAGCAGCGTACCCTAACTACCAATGGCAAGTTAAATGGTAGGGAAAATGATGATGATATATGATGATATAGGATGATATATGATGATAGATGATGATAGATGATGATAGATGATGATAGATGATGATAAATGATGATATATGATGATATATGATGATATATGATGATATATGGTGCTACATGATGATATATGAAGATATATGATGATATATGGTGATATATGATGATAGATGATGATAGATGATGATATATGATGATATGATGATATATGATGATCGATGATGATAGATGATGATATATGATGATATATGATGATATATGGTGCTACATGATGATATATGATGATATATGATGATATATGGTGCTACATGATGATAGATGATGATAGATGATGATATATGATGATATATGATGATATATGGTGTTACATGATGATAGATGATGATAGATGATGATATATGATGATATATGATGATATATGATGATATATGGTGTTACATGATGATATATGATGATATATGGTGCTACATGATGATATATGATGATATATGGTGATATATGATGATAGATGATGATAGATGATGATATAGGATGCGATAGGATGATATATGATGATAGATGATGATATAGGATGATATAGGATGATAAATGATGATACATGATGATAGATGATGATAGATGATGATATATGATGATATATGATGATAGATGATGATAGATGATGATAGATGATGATATATGATGATATATGATGATATATGATGATATATGATGATATATGATGATATATGGTGTTACATGATGATATATGATGATGTATGGTGCTACATCATGATTTATGATGATATATGATGATATATGGTGATATATGATGATAGATGATGATAGATGATGATATAGGATGCGATAGGATGATAGATGATGATATATAATGATATATGGTGTCACATGATGATATATGATGATATATGGTGCTACATGATGATATATGATGATATATGATGATATATGATGATATATGATGATACATGATGATAAATGATGATATGATGATATATGATGATTCATGATGAAATATGGTGCTACATGATGATATGTGGTGCTACATGATGATATATGATGATATATGATGATATATGGTGCTACATGATGATAGATGATGATAGATGATGATATATGATGATATATGATGATATATGATAGATGATGATAGATGATGATATATGATTATATATGATGATATATGATGATACACCGGGTCCTTTTACCGTGGAAGTCAGGATGGAAAAACCTGTCGGTTTACATGGAAGTCGTTTACGTCCAATTCCTGGGGAAAAAGTGAAACTGGGCTACCGGGCCAGCAAATGCAGAAAAACTGACCGTGAATCTCTTACATGGAAGTAGCTCATCAGATATGTCAGTAACATATTCATCATGGAAGTGTGAAAACTGAGACTAAAAACCCTTACGTGGAAGTAACTTGAGGGTCCAGACATCAGGTTGGCAACTTCTATGTTAACATGTTCTCCCCTCATGTTGAATACATCCTTCTAGGGCGATCCCTAAACCCCCCAGACTCGCCACATCATTTTTTTCTTCTTTGCATCTATCTTCTCAGGCTGTTGGTGCCTGTTGCCTCTTTTGGGCTTTAGTTGGTGAACATATGATTATGTATATATGAAAGCATATAATGGAATATTAAAAGTGGAGATACTGTATGGTATATTATATTGGCTTTGATGCTATCTGCCATGTAATGGTAACATTGTTTGAGTTGTGACATGGTGTTTGATTCATAGATGGCTGCTATAGTATATATATAAATATTTAAATGACATGGTAAATTACTGTACATATATCATAAAGGCCATCAAGGCTTTTTGGTTTGACATTGTGAAGGCCATGTAGGCTTTTGATATACTGCCACAAATGTTTTTTTATTTTGTATTTGGGCTGAATATATTTATTTGAACTGTATTTGTTTTTTGAGAAACAAACTAAAAAACAATTGGAAAACATATTTTTTTGAACAGTTTTTTACAAAAAATATATATACATATATATGTGTCTAATTAATTATTTTGTTTTTGTTTTTCAAAAAACCAAAAAAATATATTTCCAAATTGTAATTTAGAAAAAAAAATCAAATTTTAAATTTATTATTTTTACCTTCCAGATTTAGATTCAGAATCTGAATCTAAAAATCATCCTTTGGACAGTTAGATTCAGAATCTGAATCTAAAAATCAACCTTTGGACAGTTAGATTCAGAATCTGAATCTAAAAGTTGATTTTTGCAATTTTAGATTCAGAATCTGAATCTAACTCTGTTAAACAAAGATTTTAGATTCAGATTCTGAATCTAACTTTTTTGAACCACATTTTTTAAATTCAAATTTTAAAGTATTTTTTGAAAACCAACTACAAAAAAACAAACAGAAATATTATTTTAAGAAACAAAAATTTAATATTTATTTACTATTCTTTGTTAAAAAAACAAACCAAATTGAAGTCAAGCATGATGAGCCTGGAACTAGAAGATTTCAGGTTGTATGATTATTTCAACTCAGGTTAAATTTAAATATATCAACTGTTTGTACTTTCAATTCCAAACAAAAATGAATTAGTATAGATCTCAAAGTTCCTGGTGTCTGGATGGTTTACAGTTTAAAATTTTAGACTGAATAAGTTTAACCTGAAATCTTGCAGTGGGATTTACTGCTCAGAATAAAAATTGCATCCAGTCAAGTTGAGATACACTGAGATGGCACCTTAAGGTTTTTGTGAATCTTTGTTTCTACTTGTTTTTAAATCAAATAAATTTCTTTCAAAGATTTGTCTTTACTTTCAAAAAAAACTGTTGTCAGTTTCAAGAATATTTTTTAACTATGATCTATTCAAACTGGCCATCATGGCATTTGAGTAGGTTGGCCATATATGGCATTTGCTTTCATCATGGAGCACACTGGCAACTCAGCAAGACTTGGTGTAGCCATAAATGGCCGTTGATGGCTGCAGTGCACACTTTTTTTGCCTTGGCTGCAGCTGGTGAATTGTATGGCCACTTATGACCATTGGTGGTTGGCCATAGTGGCCTTCTAAAAATACATGGTGACCTGCTGGCTCTTGATGGCCTCAGTTGGTGTGGGCCATGATGAACCTGGTCTGCACGGTGGTCCCCATGGCAGCTCACTTGGCCTTGGACCCTGCCTTGGTGGCCTTGCGCTCATGGAGGCCCTTGGGGAGGCTGGAGGCCCATGGTCTTGTCCATGGCCTTCATGGCCTTCATGGCTGTCTTGGTCTTGTTCTTGGCAGTGGTGCTGCTGGCCTTCATGGACTTCATGCCCTTCATGGTTGCCATCTGGTCGTTGGGGAGCTTCATGGCTTTCATGGCCTTCATGGTCTTCATGGCTGCCATCTTGGAGTTGGCCATAGCTGCTCTGGCTGGGCACAGTGGGGTGCAAGGCACTGGGGCACACTTGGTCACCTTGGGTGTATATGGCTGCAACACAACATTGTTTCAAATTGGTACAAGGACATGGTGGGCCAAAATGGCTTTTGAACAAGTTGGCCATAAAATGGCTTTTGTCAAGTATGTATGCCACTGTGGCATTTGGTGGTGAGTTGGCCAAAATGGCTTTTGCTGCTGCAGCTGCTCACTGAAAGCTTTCTTTTTACATTCCATTCATGGAAAGTAGCACCCACATGGCTGGGTGTGGTCGAATGGGCCACATGTGGGCCCCTGCTTCCTCAGTGGTGCTGCTTCTGATGGCTGTCCTGCCATGATGCAGCATGGATGGAAAACAAACAAACAAACTTCATATCAAATGGACCTATGTGGGTTGACAACAAGGTATATGTATTTTGAGAGACATGTATTGGGATGCATGAAGGAAAACAAATCATTTTGCTGGCAATTCAATCTGGCATGATCTTCTGTCCTGGTTCGACTCTGATGGCATCATCTCCCAGAGGTGCCACACATGGCTGGCTATCCATGATGGTGAACCTCCATGGATGCCCACATGTTGGACAATTCCTGGTCTCATGGTCCACATCCATGGCCATGATGAACCTCTGGCACCTCTCTTGGCCATGGTAGCCCCTGCAGTGGTACCATGCCAGTGGTCTCTTGTGTGGCTTCATCAAATGGAGAGCATACTTGGCCACCCTTTGGAGTTGGGTCCATTGGGGGTCATCCACCCATGGGTTGGGGTTCACCCATGCCACATGGCTTGGTAAGTTCTCTGTTTGGACCTCTTGGTCTTGCAGGTGGCTCTTCCCATCTCTGGCAGAGCAACATGGCAAACTCATGGGCTGGCCCATGGCAACCAGACTTGGTCAACTTTGGCAGTACCTGAACTGTTGAGCTGGTGGCTGAAGTGGAACCAAAACAAATACATGGATTGTAGTTTGCCTGGTTCACATGTGCTCAGCTCCAGTGTGTGGACATATGGTAACTATGAACTGCCATGGTTGGCTTTTGTTTCATTCTGTAAGCCATTGTGGCCTTTGTTGCATCCTACAAGCCAGTGTGGCTTTTGTTGGTTAACCACATGTGGTCCTTACATACACAGTTTCTTTGCCTTAGTCATAGTCTTGCAATGACAAAACTCTGAATGAAATTCTTGGTGTGAGAAAAGAAACAATATCATCCAGCAAGCTTGCCTTTGTTGCCTCTGCTTCCATGTGCCTGAAATTGGTGCCACTGGAGGGCAAGTGAAACTTGTGGAGCTTTCTCCTGCTCTTGGCTGGTGCATTCAGGCTGTCTGTTTCTTCTTTCTCTTCTTGGCTGGTGTTGGAGCTTCTCCTGCTCCACCTGCTGGTTCCTCATCTTCTGTCTCCTTTGGAAAGATCAACTGAGTATGTGCTTCCACTGGTCCTGTGTTGGTCAGGATTGGGATCTTGCAATTGTTCACTACCACTTGGTGCCATTCCAAATTGCACACAGTGGTGTCATTGGATTTCTTGGCCCACCAGAATGGCAGCA